TTATCTAACAAATTTTATGAATTATTTACTATGAGTCAAGGACTGCGTAGGACAGAGGATAGAAACAATGACTTAAAGAGATCACAATACAGTAGAGTATATGGGCTTTTGAGTCAGATTTTCGACTTTGTGTATGTGTGATGAAGACAGCGGTGGGTGGAATGGGCAGAGAGCAACTGTAACTCCTGTAAGGGAAGAAGACGAACCTCTATTCATTTTGTAAGACTCTTTGGTCACAATGAGTTGGTATCGACTCGATGGCAACAGGTTTTTTGGCTTTATTATACATATGGTCACAAACAACTGTTAGTCTTCCAGCCTCAATTCCCAGATTATCCACAAGATGACTGATAATTTACCTCTGGATAAACACTGGTTGATTACAGGCGAGAAGACAACACTTAAACTGTAAAGGAAGCTGTATTAAGAGGGAGTTGCAACCACCTAAATGCCATGTCTGAGATCTAGTAACGTAAACGTTTCACCTGAGGGATGATTTTCTGATCATCTTAAGCTTTGGAGGAGTGCTCAAAGCTGATCTGGTACGAATGTCTAATTAAAGGAGGAACTCCCTCTGTAGCATCTCCGGCAGCCACAGGTTTTGGCTGAATACCTGGTAACAGCAGTAGAATCTATTGTCAATCAATGATAATATTAGAAACCTCTTCCAACCATTTTTTGAAGCTTTGCCTTCTAAAGCAATGCAGAATAAGTCTACTCCCTCTCCCATACCCTTTAAGTATTTGAAAACAGCTATCATCTGTATTTCTGAATTTTCTCATCTTCAGACTGAATTTCCCTAAAAGTTTATGTATTCCTCTTGAGAAATATTTTCAAAGTCACTGCCATCCTGTTCCTGCTCCTCCAAACACTCTACACTTGGCCAAAGTCAGCTTATAACGTGGCAGCTAGAATGGAACATGATATTCTAGCTGTGATTGATGTCACTGTATCAGAGTACAGAGGGATCACTCTTTGATCTGCTCAATACTCACATCAGCACACTTTTTTTTTTTTTTTTATTGTACTTCAGGTGAAGGCTTACAGAACAAATGGTTTCTCATGAAACAGTAGTACACATATTGTTTTATGACATTGGTTAACAACCCCACAACATGTCAACCCTCTAACTTCTCA